GTGTGGAGGGTATGACAGGGGGCAGTATGTATAGGAGAGGAATGCGAGGGATGTGACAGCAGGCAGTGTATGTAGAAGTGGTGTGGCGGAGGGTATTGCGGCGGGCAGTAGGTGCAGGAGAGGAGTATGGGAAGTATAATAGCAGGCAGTAAGGCAAGGAGAGCAGTGCAGGGGGTAAGATGACGGATAGTATATATCATCTTCTGCTTTCTTCTCTTACAGGAAGATGATGTTGCTGTTATATGAGGAGGGCCTGCGGGTCGTCATTCACACCAGTAATCTAATTCCTGATGACTGGCACCAGAAGACTCAGGGGTACGTTCATCCAAATTCCTATAATCTCTTCTTGGTCTTTGCTCTGAATTTGATGAGAGGCTCCCGTAAATTTAGAACCCCCCTACTCATATCTTCTGACTAAAAATCACATCAGTACACAGCTCTACGTGCTGATATGAAATCGTTTTACATTCATTAGCTAAACAAACATATTTGTATTTTACTTACAATTACTTTTTCCCACTTCCTGGTCCTCTTTGGCATGAATGATGTACTCGTGCCAAAGCATTGCATCCTGGGAAGGTGACATCAGCAGAGCATTGCTGTGAAATCTCATCCGCATTCTCACGAGATCTCAGGGAACGGCATTCTTCCTCCCCTGAGATGATGTGCATGGTCACATGTCCTGGTCACATGTGCCAGAGTTCCAGGAAGTAAAGGGAGATCTAGCAACCTGCTCTTAGTTAAAATGGCCGCTGTCAGAAGACTGGGAAAGAAAAGAGAAATAAGGAATGCAAAGAATACAAAGCCCGACATTATCTAGACGTTTGTGTTTGTAGATTGTCATCACTGAACATTTCTCAAGGTGTCTTTGTTGTTATTTTGAAGATTTGGGTAAAGTTCCTCTTTAAGAGCGTATTATAAAAGGACACACCCCCGGCATCCCTGTAGATGTGCATGCCTGCTTGCCACTGAGTGCTGCAGACTTAAAGGAGAACTATGAGGGGGAGGGGGGGTTCTTTTCACTCACCTCATAGTTCTAGCCGACCTGTGACAATGAGACTGTCACAGGTCGGCTCAGTAGATCGGGAGGTGAGAGAACACATACCGGCGTTCACTCACCTCTCAATCCTGTCACTGCTCTCTGCCGTGACAGGGGGAGGGGCTGGATTCCCCCCTCCCCGCTCCGATCCGCCAGCGCTGGGAGGGGGCGGAACGGACGGGGGAGAGGCAGAGCCAGCTGTCAGTCACGCAGCTGGGCGGATCCAGACATAATTGTCGGGATCCGCTTCAGCTGCGGCGTCTCAGTATATAGGGAGCTACAGTTTGCGGTATACTGAGCCTAGGGTGACGGGAGGGCGCTAGTTTGTGTCCTCCAATTACCCTAAGGAGAACTATGGGGAAAAGCCCTGACCCCATAGTTCTCCTTTAAGCTGTGCAATCTGCTGATCATTTCCATGACCATGAACATCTTAAGGGATACTGGGGATGCGTTCTTTTGTATAATGCTCAGGAACGAAGTGATTGATGGCAGAGAAAGCTCATAGCTGTGAGAGACGGCCAAGGACAGGAGGAGAGGTGATTGATGATGATTGAAGTTATTCAGACTAGGAATAAAGGCGGACTGAAGATAGCTGCTGCAGCTTCAAAGGGTTATATTGTGGAGATGCAAGTTTGCAAGGAATTGAGAGTAATTAAAGGAGAACTATGAGGTGAGTGATTTCCACTCATCCTCATAGTTAGAGCCGACCTGTGACAAAGAAACTGTCACAGGTTGAGCTCTATCGATCGGGAAGTGAGCTCAAACATGCACAATCTGCTCACTTCTCGATCGTCTCCCTGCAGTGAGCGCTGACTGTTAGTCACCGCTCCCCACAGGGATTCCCCCCTCTCCGATCCTCCAGCGCTGACTGGCGGAACGGACGGGGGAGGGGGCGGGCACAGCTGGCTCTGCCTCTAGATAGGCAGAGCCCGCTGTCACTCACGCAGCTGGGCGGATCTCGACAGTAATGTCGGGAGCCGTCCCCGCTGCGGCGCTCACGGTATATCTCGGGCAATAGCTCGCTATATACCGAGCTTTGGGTCACGGGAAGACGCTAGTATATGTCCTCCCGTGACCCTAAAGAGAACTATGGAAAACACTTCATAGTTCTCTTTTAATAATCTTAACACAGGAGAGGACTTGGTATGAGGGAAAAAAAAGGTAAGGCTGGAGTTCTCCTCCAGGATGAACATGTGACCACACAGCTCCCGTGCCTGTGACCTGGCTGCATTCAGTAAATTTACACAGCGGCGGGCTCTCACGGAGAGACAGAGGCCCACATCCCTCCCTGTGCAGGCACCATTGTCCTGCCTGTGATCTTCCGATCCCCTTTGTCCTCCATTACATCTAAAAGCTTTTACCTTCTCTATCTGCCGCCTATACCAGCAGCACTCCACACCAGACACATTAGCCTCCCCTGCGTGGCCAGATTTGTCTTGTAGGCTTTGACATCATAGAACTGCTATCTTATCAATGCTTCCTGCTGAGAGTCTTTGTACTCGGCTAAAAATCAAAATGCATTTCTCTAAACTTTTTTTTTATAAACCATTGTAAGTAAAGTTGAAACTGAAATGTTGAAAACAAAATAATCAGCTCCCTTTCAGGTCAGATACTGACTTCTCTTCTGTAGATGGGACGGCTTCCGTTAACATGGAGCCGGCTTTCCGGGCAATCAGGAAGCCAGGCGGCGTATCATTACCCGCCACCTGGTTTCTTGATTGCCCGGGAAGCTGGCTCTATGCTGATTGGCCGGGTAGCCGGCTAATCAGGAAGATGGGAGGCTGCTCATTACCTGCCACCCGGCTTCCTGATTGGCCCGGAAGCCGACTCCATGGCTTCTGGGCCAATGGAAGCCATGGAGTCCATTGGCCGCCTCGATGCTGACTGGCCAGGAAGCCAACTTCTCCGCTAATCAACATGGAACTGGCTTCCCAGGCCAATCAGAAAGCTGGTAGGTGGGTCTTTACCCGTCGCCCGGCTTCCTGATTGACCAGGAAGCCATCTCCATGCTGTTTGGCTGAAGGAAGCCGCCTTCCCGGCCATCGAGCTGCCCAAACAGCATAGAAGTGGCTTCCCAGCTAATCAGGAAGCCGGGGCGGCGAGTCATTACCCCCTGCCCGGCTTCCTGATTGGGAAGCCGTCTCCATGTTCCCTTGCGGCACTGCCAGTCAGAGGAAATCTCCGATATTGGGGGGTAAGTATCGGTATGGGCACTGATACTAGTATCAGTATCGGTGCATCCCCAAATGTAACCATTGAAGCGACAGGGACAGCAATGGTTCCATTTATACGCTCACTCCCTCCATAAATACAAGTTACTACGTAGAAAATGCTGTTCAAATTCTATAGACTGCTGGAAGGAATGAGCATATGAATGTATCCATTATCATCCCCGTAGTTTCAATGGTTACATTTATATGCTCATTCCCTAAAGCAGTCTCTTGAATTGTAACATTATATATATATATATTAGGGATGTCCAGATACCGGTACTAGTATCGGTATCGGGGCCGATACCAGGCATTTTCACAAGTACTTGTACTTGTGAAAATGCCCCGATTCTTAAGGCAGATACCGGTACATTTTTATACCGCAGCAGCTGCTGAGCACCTGCGCTTGTGGGGACCTCAGCAGCTTGCTGGTGACCTGCAAGTAGCTGTCCCGGCGCAGGCACAGCCATGGACAGCCCCATGGGCAGAACTACCGGAGTGACCGCCCCAGTGTCCAAAGCTGGGGGATCCCGATGCCTATTAACAGGGGAGGACCAGTAGCACCGGTAATTGGTATCGGCAAGTACCTGCAGGAAAGTACTTGTACTTGGTCTTAAAAAAGGGGCATCGGGACATCCCATATATGTGTATGTATATATATCTATATATATATA